AAAAAAAAAAAAAAAAAAAAAAAAAAAAGCAGATGGAGGCATTCATGCTGTGGTTTCTGTAGGACGCCTTATTCTCCTATGACTGTGTAACTCCGGTCAGTCAGTGTCGTCATCGCTAGTAAGATTAAAACGCTCCGAGCCAACGTCACTAATGCTTATGTTCTATCTCACTAAATAAAACAAAATGTTTTCTTCTCTTCTAAAAAATCTATATATTAATACGTGAAGCAAAAACTTTGTACCCCTTTTCCATAAATTCGCTGACGGAGGAGTATGAAATTTCCCACACTTATAGAGAATAGAGAGAAGTGCAGAACGTCAATATTTTTTAATCATACATAAAAAAATACATTAAATCAACAACAAAAAAACATTACATACACTACCATGTATTTGACACACACGCACGCATTCATACTGTTTATTTATTGTCAAACTTTTCTTATTGCTAGTCTGTGGTCAAATTGAGAATAGATTAAATATTGTTTGTCTTTATTAATATTTGTCTAAAGTGTAGTCTTGGCGAAATTATAGAAGTATAATAGTCTTTTTTTTTTATTGCTTAGATGGGTGGACTAGCTCACAGCCCACCTGGTGTTAAGTGGTTACTGGAGCCCATAGACATCCAGAACGTAAATGCGCCACCCACCTTGAGATATGTTCTAAGGCTCTAAGGTCTCAAGTATAGTTACAACGGCTGCCCCACCCTTCAAACCGAAACGCATTACTGCTTCACGGCAGAAATAGGCAGGGTGGTGTTACCCATCCGCGCGGACTCACAAGAGGTCCTACCACCAGTAAAAAGTCTCTGACAATAGAATCATAATAGTGTAAAAACCTATAATTTCAATTAATTATAGTCGAATTTCGACTACCGGCCGACCGCTAGTTCATATTGATTCATAACATTATTCAAACCCGATCTATATCGACGCTTGAAAGGCAAACGTGACTACGCGACAATAACTGCTTTGTACATAAATGATAGGCAATAACCATATTCGATGCGCAAAAAATACATATTTCTAGGTCTAGCTAGATTCTACTACGGCTAGATTCGTTAAAATAAATTTTGTTTTCAGGTATTTCAACTTTAAATTAGTCTACTGTAAAGTTCACGCATTGTCGCTTAGTCACGTTTGCCTTTCAAGCGTCGATATGAAAAATTTACATACTACTACGTCATGCAAAAGATAGATCTGTTATAGGAAGTTACACACATCGTTAATTGCCGACAAATGTGTTCGAGAATTGCTTTCGTTAGAACGTTTCAATTGAGTGCTCATAAATACGGCGACCGTGTCACGTGCAGCCGGTCGGTCGAAAAATAAAAATCATGTTAAGGCGCGTTTACATGTTGGCGAATAATTTTATTTTAATCATGTACGTTTTCAAATGTTAACTATGTAGAGTGAGTGGTTTATCTATCTATCTATATATAACTAGTCAGGTCATAAGTATTGTCACACAGTAAAAACTTTTCTTTTAGAATGCTGGCCACAAAAAAGTTTATTGANGTGCGTTTCCAGAGATCTTTTTTGCCACGTACCATCCGGCTATGGAATGAGCTCCCCTCCACGGTGTTTCCCGAGCGCTATGACATGTCCTTCTTCAAACGAGGCTTGTGGAGAGTATTAAGCGGTAGGCAGCGGCTTGGCTCTGCCCTTGGCATTGCTGAAGTCCATGGGCGACGGTAACCACTCAACATCAGGTGGGCCGTATGCTCGTCCGCCTACAAAGGCAATAAAAGAAGAAAAAAAAAGCTTGCTTTATAAAACACAATGGTATTCTTTCATCATTGAAATGATTCGTGAATATGTCTTAAGTACGTATTTCATCAGAAAAATTGGTATCTGTCGGCGGGTTGAACACTGATATAATCACATAGTTCAACATAAGTACATCAGAGGCATCGAATACTTCAACGATGAGTTCGTAAGCAAGCTAGTTTGTAACTGATTTGAATTTGAAGCTTTAATATTGTCATTATTTATAAATAGTTTCATTTGGATTACAAATCATCATAGCGAAGCAATCATACCCGCGGCTGCAGTCTACAGTACTGTGGCAGCTCCAGTCTCGTTGATCAGAGTAAAGTTCTTCGAGTAATTCTTCCACGAGTTCCTTTACATCTCGTTTCTGCACAACAATGTCCACATCGTAAAACCGATGGTTTTGGTAAAGTATGAAAGAAAACGTTAAATGCTTTAATTTTACTTATGATATCCAAAGCTTATGTAAAGTTTTATTTACTAAACACAGCCACAAATAATGCAAAAAAAAAACAATTAAAATTTAAGTATTTAAATATTTTAATGATAAAAACTTAATGCTATCAAACGTTGTACGTATCATATTATTATACTATACTAAAATATCTTTATTTTTTTAAATCACTTTTAGCTTGGGAGATGTTCGTTCTGGGAACAACAGTTTTATTGGATGTTAAATTCTAAACAAAATATTTAGTAATTTTATTTGAGATTTAGCCGTATTATTATAAAATATTATTTTTTGATTAATGTTAGATGCAACCTACCTGAGAGCAATTGATTGCTGGTGGGGGTGGTACAATGGATCGTTTTCTACTTTTGGGTTTCGGTACACGAATTTTCTTACTTTTCTTCTCTCGTATCGGCTCTTCTGGGAGTAATTTGCTAAAATCTAACTCAAATCGTACCACTTTTAAATTTATCGGTTGATTCACACTTATTGTTTCCATTTTAAAATTATTATTTACAATGCTAAGATTCAGTGACCTCTGATTCAATGAATTATAACTGACAGGTAATCAAAATGAATCAAGCATTTTATTGATACTTCTTGTTCAAAGACTATTAGACGGAATACGTTATTTTCGGAGTGTGTGGTATTTAGTTTATTTGAACAATGGTTACGGGTGAGCTCGACGCGGCAGGAGGTGACTTGCGATAGTCTCCCACTCGTACACTGTTGGCAGTTCCGATAGCGATGATAACGACTAATACATTCATTTGTATGCATGCCCAATGAAGTAAGGATGTATTGATATTGGTATTTATTTAGTAAAATACCATACCGTCGAGTTATTTACTATATACTTTGTTGAAATAATAAAACAATGACTATAGCAGTGATTTAAGTGATATTTGAGGTTGCAGAGTCCTTCATGGTGGTAGTCTGTCCTATATGTCCTAATATTATACTATTAATATTCAGAAAATGCAACTGGTATGCAGCCTCGGCTAGACATGCTAAAGTGGTTACTTTTTTAAATGTTTTAATTGCCCTTATAGCCAGACGAGCACCTGATGGTAATTGGTTACCGTGGCTCATGGAATTGAGTAATGCCAGAAGCACAGCCAAGACGCAGCCTACCACTGAGTACTCCGGAAGCTTCGTTTGAAGAAGGGCATGTCTTAACGGGAATCTCCGTGGAGGAGGGTTAATTCCAGATTCGGATGGTATGTCGCAGATAAGATCTCTGGAAATGCACTGTCGATGAACGGAGCGGTTCCAGGTGGTATGTATGAGCTCGGCTCCGGTGGCGGTAATTGTGATGGTAAAACAATTCCTTAGAGCATTTCCCATGTAATTTAATACCCCCACCATCCACCGGTAATAGTACTATATCTTCTTTTAAAATCTAACTTCCTTCCTTTAAAATCTAACTAGCTTCCTTATTTTGATCCAGTAAGGATAAAGGGTGCTCTGTGAGCTGCTACGACTGTACACCACCGTAACGAATCAATTTGCAGAAAACCTTGTTCAACGACTAACCCTTGGTCGCAATCCGTCTTGAGACACGAGATCTTAACCTGGTCGTGTGTCGTGATCACCATCGACCATAAATCCGTTCCTTTCTCAAATTAAATTAATTTAATATGTAAAAAAGTCACAAACATGTTATATTATTTGTTTACGACAGATATGTTAAGCTAGGTGGTATTGTTTAGGTAGGTATGGTTTAAAAAAAATATTTATTGCGTACGTAATAAGGTTATTTTAATATGAACTAGAGAACTTACTACTGTAGATTTCACTTTACCATTCTGAGAATTGCCACAAGTAGCATATTTGCCTACAAATGTGCTTGTACTTCTAACTTAGGTTCATAGTGTGTTCACAGTTCATCTGCACATCAATGCCGAAAAAAATTCAAAGTGTGCAAACCCTTAGTATTTGAACACTTCGTTTGCCGTAAAGATACTAGTTTTACGAAACTCAACCCATATTTTTTAAGCACCTTGTTTGCGGTAAATATACTAGTTTTACAAAGCCCACTACCGATAGCGAAATATTGGCAAAATGAAACATCATACTGAAAATTGATTCAAAACCTTTTTTGTTCAGTTTTACGGGTATTGAAAACGGTCAATATCTGTACTAACCAACATTATTAGACCTTAGCAATGCTTTCTTAGCAATACTATCGAAATTAGTATCCTACTTACCATATTTTTCTCTAGATAGCTAAGTGGAGACTTATTCGTAATGCTCGAAGATTATAGTTGATAATACAAAGTGAATATTTTCTATTTTGAAGATAATTGATTGAGAAGAAGATGATGGTTATTATTGAGAAGCCAATATATGTTTTTTTCTCTTTATCTCACTTCATCTTACTACCTCTATCTACCGAAATTTTAACTTAACGCCTAAAACTCTATTTAAATACGATACGGCTGTTAATTCAATAAGTCTTAAAATTACAACTGTCAGTTATTACATGCAGATTTAAGATTATTAATAAATTTAGCTGAAATTAATTTCTGAATATTAATGGCATAACTTTTTTACACTGCGATTTGAGCATAACGATTGACTCTGGGTCGATACATAACATCAATCAGCCATAACTGGTTCACTGCCGAAGGCTTTTATGTGTAGATTTCTAAACTTTATCCTGTTATCCCCAACTACAAAAGTTGCCTAGTCCAAAATCTCTACACGGAATAGTTAAATAAACTTGAGAGGCTATATGAAAATCTGATTTTAATTTTTTTTTCAAATTTTATTCAAAGTTGTCTCATGCACAAATCGTACAAAAATTTGTACAAAAATAATGAGTTAATTTTTTGAAAATAAACTAAATTTCCAAGAAAGCATTGGTTTCCTAAAAATCTGAAATTTATTTTAGTAACGAAACTAGTGACATAACCAAGTCTACAGAAGCTTAGACCATATAGATTTTCGTTTAGGGTTTAAAAAATATCTTTCAGTTATTGTTTTTGGTCTCTTTAATCATTTACAAGCGAAAAGTAGGTCGTAGGTGTGTTTCACTGTTTATTATCGATATTATCTACGACTCATTTCAGTTTCCAAGGAAACAAACAAAGTCAAATCTTTTTAGATAGAGCCAAGAACATATTTTTTACAACCTTTTAGTTTTACATTAGGCACATTACAGGAATTAACATTTTTATTTAATTTTTGGCTCTTCTTCTGTTCATTTATTGAAACTTTGGTGAAATATTTGTTGTCTCACATTGTTAGCGGTACGTTCAACTAAAATGAGTGGAAATCAAGAAATAAATAATACAGTCAACAGAGCACAAGAAATGCAACCAGGATTTTGTTCGGCGACCTGTGTGAACCGCTCAAAATTACAAGAAGAAATTAAAAAACCCGATCTTAAAACATCAGACCTGTTTATCACGTGTAATCTGCCGAAGAGATTCGAGCATCCACGTAAGTTTTTAATATATGTATTTAAGAAACGCGAATCGTATACAAAGTGAGATAATTAAATAAAATAACAATAACTTGAAAAGGATATATCGACAGATGGAAGGAATAACATTGTAACTCAGTTTTAGTTAAATATGAGTTACAATGTTATTCCTTCCATGTGTCGATATAATAGTAGCTTTATTGAATTATGTTGACTTTAAGCGTAAAACCTCTAAAAATAATGATAATTCCAATTAAGGGCTCCAAAAGAGCGAGTCAATTTCGTTACGAATAAGATCAAGGGTGTGTCACTGACCGGTAGCGGTTTAGCGGACAGGCAGCGGCTTGGCTCTGCCCCTGGCATTACTGAAGTCCATGGGCGACGGTAACCACTCACCATCAGGTGTGCCGTATGCTCGTCTGCCTACAAGGGCAATAAAAAAAAACCTAGTCTTTCTGAATGAAAAGTATGGCTTATTGCGTTTTTAATATCCTATTTTAAATTTACTAAATTCAGTTATCTAATTTAATAAAAGTTTTAAACAAAATTCAGCGTTTGAAGAACATTCAAAGGTCACCTCAAACACATTAAATTATTGGAACAAAGACTTTATCGTCAGATTCTCTTTGTACTTAAAGTTGAAAACAAGTTGAAAAGGACTAATTAATTTGTTTGGCTTTGAACAAACGAATGGCTATATTTATATATTTAAATAGAAAAAAAGATCTTAATTAATTTTGTAACATCCAACAAAATATAAAAACTATAGCATTTTCTTCAGTTTACAATACGTTACAGTTTTCGTGGTCACACATCGTGGTCACGTGGACCACGGAAACTGTATTCGAAACATCGGAATTAATGTAATGACAGTAAAAGACGCTGTAAAAGTAGTTTTAATTATGAAAACGATGTCATTGATCTTGGCACCAGAACATGCGGGCGCGAAAAATCGATAACACAAAATACATCGAGATACGAAAAAACACGGAAAAAGAACGTTGTTTAATAATTACTTGAAACATTTACCTGAATATCTAAGTTGAAAGAAAGTCTTTAAATAAAAATCTATTTTCCGAAGGCTGTTACGGCTTTAATAATTAATAAGTGTAAATCTATACTAATATTATAAAGTTAAAGATTTTATTTGTTTGGTTGAACGCGCTAATCTCAGGAACTACTAGTGGTCCGATTTGAAAAATTCATTAAGTGTTAGATAGTCCATTTATTGAGGAAAGCTATAGGCTATATATAATATGGCGCTAAGATCTATACGAACGGAGCACTAATAAAGAATCTTTTGTATATAGCACTAATAAAGAATTCAAAATCGTTTTTTTTCCTTTTGAGAGATTTCGCTGCGTGCGTTGCGGAAACGGTAAAGTTTCGCTAAAATAATGTATGACAGAATTGTTCCGTTTTAAAAGTTGTAAAAAATTGTCCGCGACAGCATCTGTCTACATTTTAAGGTTGGCTCACTATTATAAACCTTTTTTATGCTAATCAAATTTATTCTAAATTGAAACATTATTTGTGAAGGTGTTTTTATAAAAATGATATTAATCCTTATCCATACGTCCAAATACGTTATTCATTACAAGTATTTAATTTAAAAGAAACTCTTTACATCTTTTGATTTCACTGAGTATCTTAGAAGATATCGCAGTTTTAAAATAACATCGCAGCAAAATAATGATCAAGCGCGTAATAATGATGTACAAGGCGCCGGCTGGCCGGTGCACTGCGGCACAGAATAAGAAGAATAATAAGAAACACCCAAATCACTTCAAGATAGGCTTTGAAAATTGTAGATTTTTCTCGATTTCTCCAGAATCCCATCATCAGATCCTGATTCTGATGATTACAGGACCATTCGGGAAGTCTACCCTATCGAATAAAAAAAAAGAATGATCAGAATCGGTTCAAACATTCTCGAGAAATCGGTGAACATACATAGATAAAAAATGGTGGTCGAATTGATAGCCTCCTCTTTTGAAGTCGGTTAAAAAGGGTGATTTTGGTACCTTAAATAGCTCTTTAGCATTCTATTATTCAAAAATAGTTTCACCTTCTACGTAAATGAAGTCGCGGGTAAAATTTTGCGTTATCCCAAAGTAACTATTTCATGCGGACTAAGTTGCGGGTAAAAGTTTGTTTCTTTATAATATCTCTTAAATATATTTTGATCACTTTCACAGATAGAATTTAATGATTTTAGTACAATTTTTAAACTTGATCGTGACGCAGATTCCGCTTAATTATGTTTCTATTTTAGACTGGTTCAATGGTTATGGCTGTCAAGTGAGTAAGGAGCATCCGTTCTACAGAACTTCGGCAAGCGAATACGGATGGTATCCACCAGGTATTGTTCGAATAGTGACAATTTTAATGTTTACAAAAATGTGGTATGCGATTTTCGTAAGCACCACAGCTGGTTAACGCAATCCACCTTGTGTTAAAGTCATAGTCTCAATCGTTTTTTTTTTCCTACCTCTGCTGATAGCCTTGAGAGGCTATTTCAGCTTCGCCCTAACGTTTATAGGTGAGCTCACGGGGCTCAAACCGGAGAGTTGCTAACACTGACCCTAGCAAGAGCAGTGCTTCGCAGAATCTACCACCGGATCGGAAACGCGACCCACTGAGAAGATCCGGCGAGAAACTCAGTGAGCTGTGTCTGTGGGTTAATTCGCTGACCGGTACAATCGTAATGTATGAAGACTGTCCACCCTTCAAACTGGAACACATCGCTTGTTCGTAACAAACAAAGACAGTATAACGATGCCCAGCCGTTCTCACTCAATGAGCTCTCGCTCACAATCTGCTCTCTTCCAAAATTAGTAAGTTTGCGGGTTTGATTTTTATTACACGACTTTATTCCATACATCGTGGAGTTTGCTTTTCGAAAGCACGTATAGTCCGAGTTTACTTAGGAAAATTGGTGCCCGTCACAGGATTTGAACGGCATTATCGTATTAGTCGATACCAATACACTGGGCGAACCGTAAACAATAGGTAAGAACCTGTTGTTTTAACCCTACAAGGCACCTAGTTCCATATGTGGAACACTGTCTTTAATCGTTCCTATAGTTATAAAACAAGAAATAGCGTCATCTATTGACATATTGATAGATGCTACAGACATTTAGCAATGTTGTAATACGAAACTTTACCTAAAGATGTCTTTCGTGTTAAAGTTATAGTATACGAACTGTGAAATTTGAATGAAATTGGAACGTTAGTCGTTTGTTTAAATTCAAAAATATTTAAAAAATAGTTATTGAACAGTTTTGACTCAAAAAAAATACTGTGCTGCAACGAAGTGTATATTTTGCAGAGGTAAGTCGTTTTTTTTATATTACAATAGTAAACGTATTAGTAAATCATATTTTTATGCATGTTCCACATACGGTACGTTGAGCTTTAGTGTCTGTTTTTACTTATACATACTTACAATAACGTTCCTTAGGAATTTTTAGATTTTATTGCAGATAATGTCGCGAAGAAGATTGCGTGATGAAGATATTGAAGGTTTCTGGGATATTCCTTCTGGGAGAAGAAGATGGTCAAGATTTTTCTGATGCTGAAAGTGATGATGACATCGAAAAGGTTCAGTCCATCCGAAACTTTTTATCAGAATCACCAGCAACGTGGAAACTTCCTTCTCTCCGCAAATATATCAGTTTTCGTCTCCCCTCAACGAGCTTGTTACGAATATTGAAAATCGTCAGCCAGAAATATCAAACCCTCAGCCTAGTACATCAGGAATGATTTCAAGGACAACTACAGGTACCAATACACAATCTCAGGAACCTAGACGATCATCGACTATGAGTAACACAATCGGTCATTGATCTAGAAACCCTTGGCACTGTAACTGTCACTCAAAGAAAAAAAAAAAGATTTATTTGGAAGAAAACATATTTTCAATCACCCCCTTCTTACTGGAAACACAAATTTACAGTCACCGATTATAGACTTTGAAACTCCCCTTCAATATTTTTTAAGGTTTTTTGATGATGCGTTATTTCAGTATATTGTAGAAGAAATGCACAAATTTAGTGTCCAAAAAAATTCTTCGAAGAAAATGGTACTTGAGGCTATTTTATCATCTTCTTGATGTAACCCTTGTCAATTGCTGGTTATTGTACAGAAGAGTCGGAGAGCAGCAGCATATACCAACCCCAATGAAACAGAAGGGCTTCAAATATGAAGTAGGGAAAAGTATAAGCTTATGTGGGTTATCAATAAACAAAAAGAGAGGTAGACCAAGTTTAACTGATGAAGTTGAAAACAAAAGACAGAAGCCAAATACATCAATCCTACCTTCGCGTGATGTCAGGCGCGATGGGTTTGAGCATTTTCCTGTTTGGGGTCAAAAAAGACAATGATGCAAAAATCCTGGTTGCAAAGGAAAAACATTCATATCTTGCGACAAATGTCGCGTAGAACTTTGCCTCAATAAATGGAACAATTTTTTTAGATCCTTTCATCAATAAACAATTTCATATTAGTTATAAGTATGATTTTGCAATAATATACAAAAGTATAGGTAATAGTCATTTCATTTTGGATAATTTACAATTGAACAAAAAGTACATAGGAAACTTCCAAAACAATTCAATTGTACTAGTTTAGTATACCAAAAAGTATAGTTAAGGCTCAGTGTACCATATGTGGGACTGAAATAAAAAGTTTATTTTTTCGTAAAATATGGTTTTATTTTTATTTTTATATGTTTTCCCTATCTTCTGATCACTAAATACAAACTATATATTTTTTTGATGCACAAAAAAAAATTGAGCCTTGTAGGGTTAAAATTAATAATGATATTGGACTAATTAACAATATCTAATGATAAGCAATGAATTGAGGGTTAAGAAATGAACATACCGATAAGAAGTGTGAATGGCGTTTTTTAATTTCTTTTTTTAATTGTCGTTTAATTTTTACAATTATTTTAGGTTGGCATTCCGTTCCGACGGTGTATTTCCCGAAGAACCAACAGTTTTCGAACCATTTGGCTCAATCCGGAATGTATCGTAATTATTCTTTGAATACTGTACTCGATCAGTTTTCATTGAAATAATAAGGTTTTTTTTTAATCAGTAAAGAATTCGCGCGTGTGGCATCTACTTTAAGGCATTCTGTTAAATATTATTTCTTTATCGTTATCTTTAGATTTAAGTTCTTATAGAATATAGTAGACGAAGGTTTGAAATGTTTGAATTTGCTTTCGGAGAAGAGATTCATACAACTGAAACGTAAAATTTATTGGAAAAAAAAATGATTACGATTTTCGTTGCCTTCAGAAGATATCAAATCATAGTATTATGTTTACACATTTACATTTAAGAAACTTTAGTTTGTTTTATCATAGGAAAACTTTTATTATATATACTCAGAGAATGTAATTAATTTATTTACAAATTATTTTAATTGAGCACTATTAAAGGTAGTTTATTTTGTTTTAGTTTATAATTGAGTAGAGATAGAAAAATAAATAAATGGAATATTACCCTTTAATTAAGATTAATTAATGTTAAGTTACTGTTTTTATTGTGAATAAAGCGTAAAATTTATGGTAGCTCAATCAATTTTGTTTTACTGAAACTATTTAGATAATAAATTATAGGAAAAATATTTTTTATGATTGAAGGATTACTGGTGGCCCGGAGGCCTTTCCAGTTTCCAGTTTCAGGTAGGCGAGCAAAGGCTGAGCCAGGAGGGTTGGGATTTGCTAACAGATGCCCGAGCGCCTCCGAAGGAGACCTAACAGCTCAAGATCAGCTTTTTTTGTTCTCCTATCTATTCTGATAGCCTTGAGAGGCTACTTCAGCTTCGCCTTGACGTGTTAGCTCACGGGGCTTAAACCTAACTAACTTGCTAACACTGGCCCTAGAAAGAGCAGTGCAGAATCTAGCACCAGATCGGAAACGCGACCCACTGAGAAGATCCGGCGATAACTCATTGTGTCTATGGGTTAATTTACTCGACGAACCCTTCGTCGCAAGCGACCGGCTCGGTGAATACGGTGACCGGTGCTTGAGGTACTTAAAACCACCGTTAATGGATCAGGAGGATCCGTAATGACGTGATTAGGGCGACGTCGACTGTTTAGTATTCGGTCTACAGGATCGGGTATGTAATTCCCGGCGACCACATCAGGATGGTTTTCGTGTCGTGTCGCCTTCTCAAAGTGGCGCAATGATGCCGACTGTAAATACTTACTGATTGAGTCAAGCTCCAGATCATAATGGAGATTCACGTTTCTCAGGAACCATGGTGCTCCGACGACTATTCTGCAAAAACGGGATTGAATGACTTGAAGGGGTTTCAAGTTAGTGCGGGCCGCGTCAGCGTACACTACACTTGCATAGGTCATGACGGGGCGTATGCAAGTTTTGTAGAGTGTTACCTTATTAGGAAGAGAAAATTTACTTCGCTTACGAATCATGGGATAGGTGGGTCCTAATATAAAGGCGGCACGGTCGCGTACCGTTTTAATGTGGGCTCAGAGTCCACAATAGCGACTTCTGCCTACACGAGTATTAGATAGCCGTGTCATCGACGAAGAGGAGCTTCTTCGCGAATGAATCTACTACCGGATAGAAATCGCGACCCGCTGACAAGATCCGGCGAGAAACTCAGTGGGCTAATGCATGGGTTAGGTTGCATGTCGAACTCTTTATCGAGTTCCACGTGTACGGTTACCGGGGTCTCTAAGCCTGCTCCTAGTGTTAGAGCTGAAGGCGTCTAATGCAAAGGTTATTGGATCTGATGGATCCGTAAGGACGTGTCTAGGGTGTCGACGGTGACTGGCTCCTGTGTGATCAGGATTCGGGGAGTTGTCAGCGGCGGCAACGATAAGGCGATTATCATGACGCATAGCCTTATCGAAGTACCGTTCCGACGCTGACTTCATGTATTTCCGAATTAAATCGAGGCCCAGGTCGTCGTGTAGGTCAACGTTCACGAACCACGGAGCTCCGACGGCTAACCTAAAAAGCAGGATTGTAGGGATTGGAGGGTGTCTGTGTGTGCGGGCCGCGTGAGCGTATACCACACTCGCGTAAGTCATGACGGGCCTTATGCAAGTTTAATATTATTTACGATTGCAAAAGCATTATCAATATTGTTTATGTGATTATATTCTAATGAAATGGTTTTAATTGAAATTCACCTTTCATTTATATTGATCTGAGATTATATTTTATCTTTTTAATTGCAAATGACTGATAACGATTGAGAGATATGATGAAAAGCTACGGCTGTAATTTTTATAGTTCACTAGCTGACCCGGTAGACTTCGTAGTGCCTCAATCGATAAACAAAAGACCTAAAATTTTGTATAAAATAAACTTAAAACAAACAAAAGGAATGCGTCCGACGGGGGACACATCAAAGGAAAAAGAACATTGTTATTTTTATTTAATTCCTAGCATTTTCATATTTATTTACCTTTTAAACCTTCTCTGGACTTCCACAAATCATTCAAGACCAGAATTAACCAAATCGGTCCAGCCGTTCTTGAGTTTTAGCGAGACTAACTAACAGAATTCATTTTTATATATATAGATATAATATAGATGTGTGTGAGAGAGAAAGAGTATTATTTATTATACATTAAAAAAAACAATGCGATACATTAAAAACGAAAAAAATACAATTGACGGTCTTATCGATAAGAGCGATCTCTTGCAGACAACCTTCAGGTGGGCAAGAATCATTTGGAAAAGAATTACGCACGGTGTACCAATCCAGTGAAATATATATGTATACACAAATGCACAATGTGATATGATAATAACTTTGCTTCTTTACATTTATATAAGAATAAGCAATTTAAAAGCATATAAAACATACTTAATACACCTTTGAAACATAAATATACAATTGAATTGTGTTTTTTAATATATATTTTTAAGTAGGTCGTTTAAAATCTATTACTTTTGAAATCAATTTTTTTGTTAGTTTTAAGTGTATGAGTTAATATAGAGGAAATGAAAATCTAACGTTCTCGCGTATTTACGAGTTTCATTTTTACTAAATATTTCAGGTATACATTCGGTGTCTTCTGTATTTTTTCCCGCTGGTCAGAGGTTCACAAACCGTCTTGCTGCCGCCGGCATGTACCGCAACTATAGCCTCAACACCGGCATGGATCCCGCTTCGTATCCTTGAGAAAGGTCTTCAAATTAAAACGCTATCCAATATTCAAATCGATTCGATCAATAATCTGTGTACCGTTTTCTATAATTATATTTTGTTTTTATATAGGAGATTATTAATTAAATAAAACAATGTTCGTTCGGTATTGATTTACCAAAATGTTTATTAACTATTCGTACAATACAGATAGATTAACATGCATTCAAATTCCATTAACATATTCGATCCGGATAACATGCGGGTGCCACAACGGACAATCGTTTTACCGAAAATAAATTTATGATTCGTATTGCCGAAGCGTTTACGAGACTCTTGATATTTCCCCCGTCAATAAAGTTTATGAAGGTTGAAAATCTCACATCACGAATTCTGTTGTGGGTCGTGGCACGCCATGCTTATAAATTACCTCTAGAAGATTAAGCCGATATAAGAGTCCAAGGGGAGTTCACGTTCCCTTTGTTTTGCTCACGAGCCGTCGCGTCGTGTACCATGGATTTACGTACGTGAACCTACCTGCCTTGGATTTTTTATCGTAATACATCCTTCAAAGATTACCTCCGGGACGAAATCGAGTATTCATATATTGTATAACTTGTTACCAACAACAACAATAGCGTTTATATTTTATTCGAATGTATAAATATTTAACAATCAACAAACTACGAACCGTCTAAGGTATTCAACATAAGTTTAAGGTATTATTAATAAATTATATGTGTTAGATATTGCTTGTCGCTGTAAGCGTATATATATTTATATATGTATGTATATAAATTCAACTAAAATTTGCTACGAATCGAAGAGCGTTTCAATTTATTATTTCAATATATCGCGTATTATAGATATATTATATATATACTTAATAACAAATGCCTACATTCGTGGCTAACAACGCTACATGACTTTGTGACGTAAACTAACTACAAGTGCAACACTATAAAAATAAGTCTTAGTTTATTAATACATACGAATAATATGTATTGCGTCAATGTATCAATAATATGTACGCCAGGATTAATACATACGAATAATATGTATTGCGTCAATGTATCAATAATATGTACGCCAGGTGTAGGGGGTTGGGTTGAGTATGTAAAATTGTATAACCATTTTTTCTATAATATAAAATTAAGTAATTCTTTAATGTAACCACAAAACTAATGAGATCAATGTTTCCTTCGGTCACAGTGTCAACAGGCTATGTATTAATTATATTATTTATATTATCTTATATTTTTATTAATTATATTATTTTCGTTGTAAAATCTAATATACATCAAGTTGATTAATAAATATTGTATAATAATCAGTTTAAATATAAATAGGATTATTAGATTGTTATTTAGATGTTAAGATAAAACGAGTAAACTACAAGAATAAGTGAATGATCGATTATCGTAGTTTCCATAAATATGAGATATAGATTAGATAGATACAGGTTGGTATTTATATAACAATACCGATATAAGTAAATGTCAGTTATTGAACCATATTATTTTAAATTTGTAAACTTCATACGATTTCGTAAGCACAATACACCAACATTTATTCAGCATTCATGAATAATACAGCAAATTAATTATAAATTGGCTATAATTTTTTTTTTGAGGTTATCTAAAATTTATAGGAAAATTATAATTAAAACGATTTACTATAAGTGAGTCGTCTATTATCAAAGGTGGCAATCTGTGCATTTGGACAAAAAAAAAATATTGATATGTCAATACAGATTGATTTGAATATAATCGTCTCATATAATCTTCAAAACCTGCATTAAATAAAGGTTAATAGTTAACCTGTTATTTATCTAAGATGTCGTTCCGAAGAGTTTTGTGACTGCCAATGGAATACAAAGTCAATAATTCGTTTTTCTGATTTACCAATCATTGCCCAAAAGTCAGATTGTCGGCTTTGATAATAGTCGACTCAAGTAATAAAAGCAGAGCGTTGTCACGCTGCAGGACAATTGTTTTGTAGTGATGTAAGTTGTACATTAAGCATAAATAGGCAGTAACAAGATTCTTAATCTAGGAGCTACAACTATTAAGTTATTAGATATAGTATTATTATTTAAAATGTTGATCAATTCTTGCGTTTAACAATATTGTCTTCGATGGCATTGCTCGCCCGTTCCTACTCCTCATCCGTTTTTTTCTTTTCAAAAAGAAACGTCAATATTTAACTTATTACATTTTAAATTTAAAAGAGACGCAGAAAAACAATGTAAATAAAAATCATGTAATTATTTCCAGTACTTTAGTTACCATATTTGCAGATTGTGTCTGTCGGGACAAGAAAGAGCTAAGTTTTCTTTTGAATCTAATATTGATTGAAATAATGGGGGTTCTAACTCGCCGGGTTCCTTCGCAAAATCTACATTCCTTTCAACATTTTAAGTAAATTCAAGTTCACGATTAGCATCATCTACAGTAAGAGTAGCGTTAGTGAAGGAGGAAGCCAGAAATAGTCATAATTAGACAGATAGCTACTACGTACGCTGCTACTAGCGACGTAACGTTTGTACCAAACGGGCTCGATCACAATGCAGCTTAGTTGATTCATTTTTTTTTTTTAATATTAATTATTAATATTAAACTAACTGTAAAAAAATCTTAACGTACATTATAGAACTATTTTAAAAACTGTGTAACGTGAGCATGCCAACTGGATGTCGGGCATACCACCTCCATGAATTTAGAAGGACAGCCTTCAAATGCATTCAAGTTAACAGTAAAGTCAGATATTACGATCGTCAGAGTCTTCATTTAGTGTCATGTCTCTCTTTCAAATAAATCTTTGCGTAATAAAAAAAAAAAAACGATAATAACCTATATTGTCGAAACGGTCAAATCCTCTTTTCGCATTAAAAGTGTACAATTTGCAAAAATATTCGAAATTGAGCTAATATGCGGAATCATTTGGTATCACCAGTATTTTTTTCATAAGTACTGTCACAAGAGCGTAGTTTAATTTTAGTTTTTTTTTTTAGTTTACGTATGTTTTGACTACTACTATTAACAAAATTAATACATAATTTTATCTTACTTTAAAAAAAACAGATAATGTAACTGTTAAAAAATAAAAAAATCAATGTTGCAAAGATGATTAATATTAAAATTATCACATGTTAAACGTTTAAAACACTCATCTGTAAAATTAGTAAGTTTTAAGATTATACAGTTTTAATGCGAGAAAACGAAATGAGATTAATTGACACGTTACATGTCACCGAAGATTCCAGCGAAAGTTTTCCGTAAGTTCTTCATGGTGTCTTCGGCGTCTTCAGTGAGCGCGGCGCTAAGCGAGCCCTGGCGTGCGAACCCACCGCGGCCGGACGTCGGAGCCGGAGCCGCCGGACCCACAGACCCGGCTCCAGTCACGCCGCCCGCCGGACCAGAGCTCGGAGCCGCCGACGCAGATGACACCGTCGACGATTGAGATGCTGAAACAAAAACGAAAATCTTATTCTTTGTTCACGGTGATTAACATACCGTGGGAATGCTTAAATGACGAAAGGAAAGATCTTCCTCCAAGCGGGTGATATTGTTCGGTAGACCCACGGTCCGAATATTGTACCTAAGCTGAGAGCCTTGAGTTGCTAACACGAACCCAAGCAGAAGCCGTGCTTCGCAGAATCTACCACCGGATCGGAAACGCGACCCACTGAGAAGATCCGGCGAGAAACTCAGTGGGTTGTGTCTATGGGTTAATATACTCGCCGAGCCCTTCGTCGCAGGCGACGGGTTCGACGAGAACGATGACCGGCCCGAATTTTGTTGTTCGGAACTTGTATATAATATGCAAGCTTGTCTTGAAAATGTCGTAAGCGAGATTCAGGCATCTGTCAAATATCTTGCGTTGTATAATGGCTACCCGCCTCAATACCAAATCCATTGTCGCCCGAGGATTCTTATTCAGTACACGTGTAAATCGTTTTTTTTAAATGCTTTTTTTAATTTTTTTATTGTTTAGATGGTTGGACGAGCTCACAGCCCACCTGGTGTTAAGTGGTTACTGGAGCCCATAGACATCTACAACGTAAATGCGCCACCCACCTCGAGATATAAGTTCTAAGGTAAGGTACAGTTACAACGGCTACCCCACCCTTCGAACCGAAACGCATTACTGCTTCATGGCGGAAATAGACGGGGTGGTGGTACCTACCCGTGCGGACTCACAAGAGGTCCTCCCACCAGTAAACGCGATTACCATCATTATGCCAATTCCTTTTCATTTGTGTGGAAATATCGCCACCAGCCAGATCACTTCCTAACGTGTCCTTTACAATACTTGTCAATGTGATAATAGCCACAAGCTTTGATCAGAATCGCAATATACACCAATATTAAATGACAACTAAGTTCTACTCGCGAATGGGCTCATATCACAGAATGGTTGATTGTAGTCTACAGTAAGAGTTAAGGTTATTAATATTAAACTAAGTTGGTTAAGGTTATTGATAAGGTTTGTTGTAACTGTATCACAGGATGCTTAATAAGCTATAAGATAAGCTATAATCAAAGGCTAGCATGGATTTCAAATGAAACGACTAAAATATCGTAATATTTGAAAGTCAAATACACGTTATAGTCAAATATAACTGGATATGCACGTTCGTAGCAATAGACGTGAAATATATACCTAAACAGCGTTTTTTTTCTGCGCCAAGCTGCACTCGATTAGTGTTAGGAAAACAGGAAGTGCCATATTGATTGCGACTCGTTTGTTGTAGGAATTATTATACATATTAAAATAAATATATAATAATACTAGCGACCCTAGCGAGAATAATGCCGAAAGTACTTTTGATTATTATTTAGGTCTAAAATTTGTATCCCTACACTTATATAAGAGCCCATTGTACGAACTTTTTAACAAGATATAAATTATGGAAAAATGCCGATCTGTGCGTTTATTTAATTCGAGTTTATTGTGCTTCTCACTTTTAAAATGACGGAATCCAACACAAACATTCATCCTTAATTTTGCGCGCCTCTGAGTGAAATATTCAAAAATCTATTAGTTAATGCCTAATAGGCATCATCATCATCAGCCTTTATCTGCCCACTGCTGGACATAGAATAGGCATAAACTGCGAAAATTTCAAGTTGGTAGGTTCGGACTCTGCGTTGATGCATTATTCAGTAACAGTAGGTACAAGTAATTGTGTACGTATAGATAATAACCCTATTGCATCAAAAATATTGTGAAATGCCATAATTTATATATTTGTTCTTAAAATTTTATTCATATTTATTATTGTTTAAATTTTGATAAAGTTCATAGAGATAAGATAAATCGTACGTTATTGAGCACGTACACAGATTTGTACTAGTTACGTACCTTGAGAGTCACGTCGGGTGAGCGGCGGCGGCGGTGGCTGAGTGGGTTCGGCTGGAATTGGTGGCAGCGGGCGGTCAATGCTGGTGGCCGAGGAGAGAGGCGCTGGAGGCGGCGCTGTTGGTGGACCGGTCCCGGGCAGGGCTCCGCCGCGTTCCTCAGGAGATCCTGCTGCCGAAACACCCGATACCGATGACCTAGATGTCGTCTTTGTTAGACCTGGACGACACACCGCCTGGAACACGCAAGATTGTGCTATTTATACGAATATTTGATATATTTATGACTAGATCAGATGAGTCGCAACGATTTCATTTTCTTTCCTATCCTATCTTGGCCTATTCCAGCTACGCTTGGACAGATAGGTAAGTTCACGGGCTCAACCTGAAAGAGTTTTCGAATACTCGGAATTGCGACCCACTGAAAAGATCCGGCGAGAAACTCTTGGACTCTTGGTGAACTCTCATGGTGAGAACCCGAAATTACAGAGAGTGGATCCGGAAGATGCGACAAGACATGTTTTGGGTGACTGCGGCTTTACGTTGTCCCGTCGCATGGGTCGGATATGTAGTTGGAGACAACCACGATAAGAGGGTTATCGTGACGCACCGCTTTTTCGAAGAAGCGTTCTGACACTGTTCGATCTCATAAAAATTCGCACTTCACGATGAAGACGAATATCTTGTAAGAGAAGCGAAGCCCACAAAATGTGTGTCTGTGTAGCTATTGACGGTAGGACGTATTGTGAGGTGTAGTGGATAGCACCATCATGTTTATTCCTGCCACGAAGAATCCTATGTTACGGTTTGAAAACGTGGTGGTTCTGTCATGCAATGATATTAACCAAACGAAAAATACCTTATTTATATTAATATCTCCCTAACGCTTTAATCTTTATATCGGTGATGCGTACCTACACAAATTGGTATGGTGTTACCTTGTTTTATTGAAATATATATTTATATTTTTCAAACAAACCTGCATGCGCTGCAGAACTAGTTCAGCGAGATTACGACGATCTTCCTCTTGTGAGTCTCCCATGAACGAAGTAGCAGAGTCGTTAAGTTCGATGATGTGTTCGCGACCGTCCTTACCCACGACCAGTTCCAAAGCGCAAACCTCAAGTCCTCCGAATATTTCGCTCACCTTTAAAAATACATTTTATGTAACGCTTTCATTTTGGATTGCGCCATCTGTGACACATTCGACGGATTCGAACAATAAAAATAGTTTAAAAAACATCAAAACTTTACCTCGTCAATCCACATTTTATATCTGTCATTCATACCGATGGCCTCGAGCATAGCAGATCCCTGGTTCGTTTTCCAGTTACCCGAAATAGATTTGCGCCTGCAAGTAAATACAATATTATTGTTACAAACAGTTTCGTCATTCAATGATTCGCAATTCATGTGTTTGCATTCGTCCGAAGCGCCTGCTTCTTGTTGTTTACAATCACAAGTTTTAATGCAGGCCACTTTGATCTTTTCTGCAGGCGTCAGCCTAGTTCGAATAAAAACTAAAATTAATACGTACATGAATGCTTTGTAGTTGGTGCCGATCTTTTGAATGTGAATGTCGTATTTAGCGTCGATGTACGGTTCCACAGTGCAATAAGTTCCCAGCATTGCTACAACACCAGCAATGTCCTATAAAAATATAAAATCAGACAAGCTTAAATTTTTTAATTAATTTATATTTTAATTTTTTTATTGGCTTTGTAGGCAGACTATCGTGCGGACCACCTGATTGTGAGTGGCTAGCGTCACTCGTGGACGTCAGAAATACCACGGGCAAGCCGGTCCCTACCATAGAATCACTCATTAGACACCATATAAATCGACTTTGTATAATATTTTTGGGATCAACCACAGCACTACCAAAAGCATGGTGCGCTGCTGCCCTACGCCATGTCTGTTTATTATACGAGTATATACTAGTCGATCTCGTTTACTATCGGTAAATCTATGACACTCATTAGACAAACCTAAACATGTGCTACCCGTTGTGTTCATGGTATAATGATAAAATACAAGCTTGAAGTATACCTCCACCAACGTCCCTTAAGTACAACTGTTCGAAGTTTTAAAGGTACAGATAATTAAGTTAATGAAGGTGCCGGATTCGATAAAATTTCGCGAATTCAGTTTATTTTGTAAATAAAAACCCCGTATCACTCAAAAAGTTGTAACAGGCACCGTTACTGTGGTAGAACGTGGTACAGAACCGTAATTTGTCACCGTTGACGCCGTAGACACGTCCTTAAGGATCCATTAGCTCCAATAACTATTGCCTTAGACGCCTTCAGCTCTAACACTAGGAGCAGACTTACGGATCCCGGTGACCCTACTCGTCGAACTGAGCAAATAGTTCGACGTGCAATCTAACCCATGCATCAGCCCGCTGAGTTTCTCGCCGGATCTTCTAAGCGGGTCCCGATTCCGATCCGGTAGTAGATTCATTCGCGAAGCAGTTGCTCTTAAGTTGTTAGGTCTCCTTTGGAGGCTCTCGGGGAGCTGTTAGCAAATCTAACCTAAATCATAAAAAGACTTAAAAAAACGTAATTTTCTTACGAACTACGCCACGATCCTATCACCAATATTTAACGAATAGAAATTACCGCACCCTAAACTAGTTGATTATCTCGTCAATATTCATAACTATAGACACGAGCAGGTTTACCTGGAAATCGGCCAGGGAGTCCACTTTCACCTTAGCGACGCCGCTATGTGCGTGCCCTATCTTGATCACCACGGGGAACTTGGGCGCTGTGACCTGTAACAATGGGCTCGGTTATGTCATCAGAGATTATGAAGCACACATGATATATTGTCGGATTTTAAATCTTTTTTGTGTGGGAAATAGTTTGGAACGCGACGTGCGTTTGCATAATGTCGGCTCTGACCCCAATTGTTGTATGTTCCCGACAACACATTTCTGTCGGGAACATGATATTGTCATAATTAATTTATGTAACCACAGGCTTATTTACTATTTCTTCTAATTTAAATTTTCATTACCATTGACGGTAAAAAGGTGGTAATAATTATTGATATGGTTATCTCATTGATAAATCATCAAAGCCATTGACCGTTTGTCCCATCACCTCTTTTACGTTAATAAGGCATGAAAATGAAGATAAACTAATTTTACTAACGTTCATAAATATGCAAATTCAGATGTAAGGTTTGCTGGCCTAGACTACTAAGAGCTAAGAGCGTTTACATTGTAATGTAATAAAACAAAGCTTTAATTAGTACATACTGCAAAAAATGTTTTTTCCACATTCCTAAACATAAATTTATCGTTTCAAAAATAACACATATTGAAAGGAAATTTGAAATTATCGTAATTTGTTCAGAGAATGAATGTGTGTTTATTATTTCGTTATCTGACGTAAATGCAAATTGCGTGCGAAGCGGTGGGTTATGACTGTGAATAAAACAATATAGGTTGTAAAAGAAAACTTTAGTGTATTTATAATATCACATTTAAAAATGTGTTTTAATGCTTTCAACTGGGGCCACTGAGGTAACGTCTTTCGGTTTGTTGCAAAACTTTTCTCTATTATTACGTTTTATTGTTTATTTTTCCTCAAAGGTAACTTCGCTTTACCTCTGGCATTGTCGATGTCCATAAGCGAATGACCACGAACAGTTACTTGAATGCCTGTTCGGTTTTTTTTTTAAATAATAAAAAAATACCAAACGAAAAGTAATATTTGCACAATAGCAAACTATTTAAATGGAGGTTTTTGAATTTAAAGGAATATTTACGGATATGGTCTTACGTAAAGTTTTTCCGGAAGACATGGGATTGCAGCCGTGGCTACCCTAAGCTATTATTAATACGTACGTATGTACTACCTTAATATCCGATTTCAGGAAATTATCACTCACGATATAAGTATACCTTGTTCCTAACTCAAGCCTGGCATTTGTTGGCTTGTAAAATTATAGTATATAAAAGTAGTATATATAGTTATAATAAGTTGGGGAAAAAGTTTCTTCGCATTTTTTTAAGAAAATTCACAACATCTTTAATAAATACTTAATATTATAAAGAGGAAAGATTTGTTTGTTTGTTTGTTTCGAATAGGCTCCGAAACTACTGGACCGATTTGAAAAATTCTTTTTCCATTAGAAGCCGACATTGTCCCTGATGAACATAGGCTACTTTTTTAAAAAAAATTTTTTTTTTTTTGTTTCATGTGTGTTTTAATGTTTCCGAAGCGAAGCGAGGGCGGGTCGCTAGTATATTATAAAGAGGAAAGATTTGTTTGTTTGTTTGTTTGTTTCGAATAGGTTCCGAAACTACTGGACCGATTTGAAAAATTCTTTTTCCATTAGAAGCCGACATTGTCCCTGATGAACATAGGCTACTTTTTTAATTTTTTTTTAAATATTTTTTTTGGTTTCATGTGTGTTTTAATGTTTCCGAAGCGAAGCGAGGGCGGGTCGCTAGTCTTTAATATATAAATATATAATTTATTTACATTTAACTAAAGTACCATTTTGTACGATAACTTTTTGCCATCTTGTAGGAATACGCTTAAACCAAATTTGTGCTACTCTCATAGACACTGCACTAGGTCCCTAAACATCGCAAATGTTTTTCGCGGCTTGCGTTGCATTTTTACCTTTTTTGTAGTATAATTTTAAAATGTAAGAATTTCTTCGTTAGATTCACTCATCTTGACAGTATGAAAAATAAATAAAAATCACTCATTTTCCTAATTTGAATTTGGAATTATCTTCCTTAAAATTTAAACTTTTAATGATACCAAAACCAGCCAAATACAAATAGTATAGCCAAAGAGATTTTATTATAAGTTCATACATACTATAATGCGAAAAGACTTTTTCCCCAACCTATTATAAAAGGAGGGCATGGAGGAACATAATCCATACAAAAGTGCTCCGTAAAGGTCACAACCCTCAGCACTGAGCAACACGACGCTAGAAGGAGGAGGAAAATTAGAGTAAATTGCCACAAGGAATATAATAAAGTACATTTTAAAACCGTTTTACACCAAAAAGATAGATGATAAAATTAAATGTTATCAAAAGTATGGTATTTATAATTAGCGGTTGTAACTAGTCAGGATTCAAAGTTGTAACAATGTTTAGTAACAATGTTTACTAACGTGTATACTGTAATGGTTATTTTAATGACTTGTTTTATTGTCGTGATATGAATCTTAATGATTTCAATGGCAAGAAATTTCGATTACCACATGATTTTCGGATTACCAATATTTTTATGTTGATTAATATCAATGTATTTTTTTTATTTACATATTTTTGATGATGTATTTCATTATTAATGAAATAAATTGTAGGAAAAGTTTTGTTAGTTTTTTTGTAGATTTGTGAGTCGACATTTATTACTAACTGCAGTGAAGTGAAGCACTGTGACAACTGCTGGACATGTGTAAAAAAATACAGTAATTTGTTGTGTGCGTTATTCTACTATGACAAAGTTAGCGGCCGATTTTATAAAAATTTTAGCTCAATCGGATCAACAACAGAAAGCCTATGAGACGCACGCACATTTTTATACAGTTCTTATTTTTAGTGCTTAAAATGAATCTGTATTTGAAAATCTTGTCGGTTTTCAACTGTAATTGATGTGCTTTCAAACATAAAAATAACCATGATTGACAGTGCACTCTTGTCTGAACGAATTAGATTCCAAGTGAAGTGGTTTTATATAATATTATTGCGAATATCTGCGTTACGTTTCGCATAGGTCTTCGATGTAACGTTAGTCAAGTGACGTCATTACATTGGTTTCATACACATCAGTGGTGGAGGCGCTCTGTGGGCGGTGCGACGTCAAGTGTTATATTCCTCTGCACTTGAGGCATGCTTCCTTCTCCGTATCGCGTGACGCATGTCATCTTCAGTGTAGACATAACATTGTATGTTTTGTTCAAATAGCTATTTATGGTAAGGCGCTACGTATGACTCGAAAGCATATTTTAAATTGCTCTGGGGTGACTTCATTTTTTGACGGCGAGACGCGTGCTCGTTTGCTTTCGTCATATATGGACATCCCTATGTTCGACGATCGTAAATTTAAATGATAATCGACTAATAAGTGATCATTTGATTAGCGCCGTTCGAATCTCGGTGTAAATTGAATAGGTAGGCATCCATGACCATTTATGTTATCTTTTGATTGATCAACTTGATAGCTTTATCGTGGTATTCAATTCAAATATCGCTATAGTTGTTACAAAAGTTCTTAATGGTCATAAAGAGACGGGAAACAATATCGCACGAGTCTCGATGGAGTATTTATTGTTCACAAAGGACAAGACAATTGTCATTTATCACAGTAATTACCGCCTTTGAAGTTAGATGGTATCTCGCCGCCTATAGAATATTTTGAATGCCATGATAAATCATTCTAATGACTGATCAGATATGCTTGAATAAGTCATCAAAAGGTTTTTATTGAATCTTAAGGTTTATCTTAAGATAGTCTTTAAGCACTAGAGTTTGTTGAGTAGAAAAGTCCCTGCATTTGAGATTTATTGAAATAGGTAGTATTGGAAAATGGAAAAGTCATTTTTTGCAATAGTAAGCAAACGAGCTTACGACCTACCAGATAGTAGGTGGCTGGTCCTTTAAAAAACCAATTTTATTATTCTACTTAGATAGTGATTATTTAAACAGTATATTAATAAAGACTGAGATTCTAAATACACTGTATAGATATGTATGTCATTTACACTGTATAGGAATTAATAATCGATTTTATTTTAATTATTACACGATATATCCGCAATATAAAAATAGTTCAACGACAATAATTAAAAGTTGGGAATGATCACAACGTTTAAAGAGGCTATTGTGTTTTTTTAGAGGACACAATAATAATGTTATCGTCGCAATTTCCGTGGTTGTAACTGTTATTGACCTCAGTCAAGGTGAGAAACATTCATACGAACGAGATTACGCATGTGATAATGAGTATTTCGAATGCAGCTTACAATTTACATAGGCAAGTTTAATAGACGTTAATAAGGCAAATATCGAAATGGCGCCAGACGTTTTCAAGTGTTTTTTTTATTAAGTAAGTACATTAAGCTCGTTGCATACAGGATCTGTCGGCTTACGTGTATTTTCGGTATCAATTATCTCATCCAATTTAAATAATGTTTTGAAATTAAGTGTGATGTTTATTGTTGTTGTTTTTGTTTTTTAAGACTGCCGTGCTTGTGGCCCCGCTTATGGGAAGTACTTACCGCCGCCTTTAAACCTTATTACTGATAACGGTATAACTTATAAACGTTATAACTTATAATGTTTCTGGCAAAACCTTAACTACTTCGTATATTTACAAGTTACTCCTAACCCTGAAATACTCTTTTAGTAAGTAATACCTACTTATCTAAGCCTTTGTTTAAAGATAAATTGTTTTAAAACAATTCGTGGTTGAATTGATGCAAATATTGAAAAAATAAACCCAACGCATTACTTAGAAGTCGTTTTAGAAGACTAAAAAAATTTACCATTACCAAGACCATATGCGAGTCTACCTACGAAGACAATAAATAAGCTAAGAGTGACGAAAGGCAAATTCAGTCTCGGGTAATAGAAGAGAGAGGTAATAGATATCCTATAGGTAGTAAGGTCCTAATAGGTAAGAGATGTCCAGTAGAAAAGAAATCAACCCCTCTCAATTGCCAAGTCGTAAAAGCAATTTAATGATTTCATTCAAATCATACTTTGTATCATGTGAGTTTTTAGTGACGCATAGAAAGC